AAAACTGTTCTAAAAATAAAATAATTTTTTAGAAAAGTAACTGACCCAACATTTGATCAAACAAATATAAAGAGTGCTCATCAGGGAAGTAAACAAGAATGTCTACATATAGCACCAAACTGCTAGAACACCCCAGAAACTTTCTTAACAGAAGCCTCCAAAAGTTTGGACTATGTCTTGGGTTCCCAAGACCACATTTGGATTTGGTAATTCTATAGGAGGACTTATGGGACTCAACATAAGACCCCAGACTTAATTCTAGTTCATGGAAGGTAAGTAGTACTTCTCTTTTTCAATACTAACTCCATAGACCACTGAGGCTCTTGACCTTGAAGCACCTCAGATGATGTGATGGATACCCACTAAACCAGGTACCAGCTCTGCCACAATCTGTGTGACCTTGGACAAGATTTCTAAGAACCTTAACAGCTCATGTCTATGATCTTATTCCATCAGGTATCTCTTTTCATACTTGACTCTTGAATATCCTCATCTTTTACTAGATCTTTTATCAAAAACACAGATCCCTTATTCCATTTAAAAAAATTCATAATCAGTTAATTCCTTCCTTCCCTTTGCCAGTGCCACTCTTCTCGCTCAGACCCTCTCCTCTAGATCACTGCAATAGTTTCCTAAATTGATTTTCCTGCTTATACTCTCTCCCTGATCTAATTCATCCTACAACCGCAGCCAGTATAAGATTCTTAAAACAAAATTATACTCATGTTGCTTGCATGACCAAAAACCTTCAACAGTCCTCCAGGGCAAATAGAATTCAATACAAACTCCTGAGCCTAGTACACCAAAATATGGCCTCAACTGGCGTGATCCTATATTGACTTTTACTACCCTTTGAAGTAATGCAAATTCTGGCCAAACTGTATCCCAAACATCCTCCATGCTTTCTACCCTTGGGGCCACTGACCTCCATTTGAAAGGTCCATTTCTCCATTTCTATCTGCCAAACACTTTGCCTATTTTTGAATGACTATCTCAAATTGGAAGGGCAACGTTCTTCCACAAAGGCAATTCCCACACATAAACATTACAGTATGTAAAAAATTCTACTTGTATAAGAGTATTGTGTATTCTTATCTTAGCATCCCAATTGTAAGCTGCAAAAGGGCAGAAAGCATATCTTATTGTCTCTGTAGTCCTGTTGCACACAGCATAGTGCCTGACATATAGTTGGCACTCACCAAATAGTGGCTTATTCGAACTGAAGCCAATGCAAGTCCCATGTCAGCAGGAGTCCCAGTGAAGGACCCCCCCAAAAAAAAAATAAGGTAATGGAATATCTCAAGGGAAAAAAAGTAAATCTGATCCTGATCTACCAAAGTAACTCTGATCCTGATCTACCAAATACAACAGTAGTTTAATGCTATCCTAGTGTGAAATCTGGAATCAGAAACTTGGAATTGAAAGGGATTCTGGCAATCACTGAGTAGTACTTCTCCTACACACAGGGGAACTGAGGCCAATAAAGATGTATCTTTTTTTTTTTTTAAGAATATACATTTAGTCTGGCAGTACTACAAGGATACTCATTTGAATATGCCATGTTTTTTTCCCACAACTCTGCCTTTGCAATAATAAAGAATATTTATTACATGATCTCATTGAAGTATTCAAGGAAGAATACAGAACATTAGAAAAACACACTGTGACTTTTTCTTAAAGAAAAAGATTAAAAAATGTATTGATACACAGTCAGAAATTATCCTCCTGGTAATTTCAAATTACATGACATAAACATGCAAAATAAACCATAAACCACATGGGAAAATAATATTATGATCATTTTGATTAAAATGTTTATATGTGCATGTAAGAATATAGTATCCAATTCTGGATTTGGGGGTTGATTTGATCTGGTTTCCTATGTTTGGTAATCCATGTTTTCTATTTTTCTTTCAATAATATTTGCTTATATTACAACTTCAGGAAAAGTGCTAAGATTATCCAAGGGTGAGCTACAGTTTTAGATGATGGTAAAACATTAACAAGTCAGCTTGTCTGCCTTTAATAAATGATGGATAAGAAATGTTTCATTAGGGGTAAAATAATTCATTAACAGTCTGTTTGAGAAATGATAAGAAAAAAATCTGAGTATGACCTTTTTGGGTAGATACAGAAAGAATAAAGATACATATCTTCTAATAATTTTTTTTCTCTTTTTTATAATTACTATATTTATCCTCACACAATGTAATCATTTTTTATGGCCCTTTACTAGTTTCTCACTACTCCCCCTCCCCCCACTTTTCTCTCCTCTGGTGGCCTCAGTTCTGTTCTCTCCTTTTGAAAGTTCAACGGATTACTGTGATTGTTGTATCTTTCTTTTTTCCTTTTATTTATTTATTTTTTTAGATCCCACCTATGAGTGAGGACATGCAGTATTTCTCTTTCTGTGCCTGGCTTATTTCACTTAACATAATTTTCTCTAAGTTCATCCTCATTACTGCTAATGGCAAAATTTCAATCTTTTTATGGAAAAATAGTAATCCATTGTGTGTATATATTACATTTTCCTATCCAGTCATTCATCAGTGGGCATTTAGGTTGGTTCCAACTCTTGGCTACTGTAAATAGAGCTGCAATAAACATGGGAGTGCAGGTATACCTTTGACATGATGATTTTCATTCCTTTGGATATATACTCAGCAGTGGGATTGCTGGATAATATGGCAGTTCTATTTGTAGTTGTCTGAGGAACCTCCATATTGTTTTCCATAAATGGCTGCACTAATTTACAGTACCACCAACAGTGTAAGAAGTTTCCCCCTTCTCCACATCCTCTGTCTTTTTTATTATGGACAGTCTAAATGGTGTGAGATGATATCTCAATGTGTTTTGATTTGCATTTCCCTAATCCTTAGTGATTTTGAGCATTTTTCAAGTGTCTGTTGGCCATTTGTATATCTTCCTTTGAGAAATACCTACTTAGCTCCTTTGCCCATTTTTTAATCGGGTTACTTGGTTTTTTACTGTTAAATTGTTTGAGTTCCTTGTGTATTCTGGATATTAATCCCTTGTAGAATGCATAGCTTGCAAATATTTTCTCCCATTCTGTAGGTTGTCTTTTTGCCAGTTAATTCTTCCCTTTGCTGTGCAGAAGCTTTTTAGTTTGATATACTCCCATTCGTTTATTTTTTCTCTTGTTGCCTGTGCTTTTGCTGTCTTATTCATAAAGTCTTTCCCCAGTTCTACTTCCTGGAATGTTTCCCTTATGTTTTCTATTAGCAGTTTTACAGTTTTGGGTCTTATATTTAAGTCTTTAATCCATTTTGAATTGATTTTGGTATATGGCGAGAGATATAGGTCTAGTTTCATTCTTCTACATATAGATATCCAGTTTTCCCAGCACCATTTATTGAAGAGGCAGTCTTTTATCCAATGTACGTTCTTGGTATTTTTGTCAAAGATCAGTTGGCTGTAAATATGTGGATTGATTTCTGGGTTCTCTATTCTGTTCCATTGGTCTGAGCATCTGTTCTGATACCAGTACCATGCTGCTTTGATTACTATAGCTTTGTATTATAATTTGAAGTCAGGCAGTGTGACATCTCTGGCTTTATTCTTTTTGCTCAGGATTGCTTTAGCTATTTGGGATCTTTTGTTGTTCCATATGAATGTTAGGAGTGTTTTTTCTATTTCTGTAAAGAATGTCATTGGTATTTTGATGGTGACTGTACTTTACCTGCAGATAACTGTGGGTAGTACAGACATTTTCACAATGTTTATTCTTTCAGTTCAAGAACATAGAATGTCTTTCTATCTTTTTGTGTCCCCTTTATTTTCTCACAGCAGTGATAACAAGCAACAAGATTGAAGCAGTAATCAGCAGTTTCTCAACAAAGAAAAGCCCAGGACTGGGTGGCAGATGACCTTACTGCTGAATTCTTCCAAACTTTTAAAAGGAATTAATACCAATTCTCTTCAAACTATTCCAAAAAATTCAAACAGAGGCCATTCTCCCAAACTCATTCTACCACCCTGATACCAAAACCAGATAAAGATACAACAAAATAAAAGAAGATTACAGGCCAATATCTCTGATGAACATAGATGCAGAAATCCTCAACAAAATATTAGCAAACAGAATACAGCAACACATCAAAAAAATTATACACCATGATCAAGTGGGATTCATCCCAGGGATGCGAGGATGGTTCCATATACACAAGTTAATAAATGTGATATACCACATCAACAAAATCAAGGACAAAACCCATATGATTATCTCAATAGATACAGCAAAAGCATTTGACAAAATTCAACATTCCTTCATGATAAAGACTTTCAGCAAATTAGGTACAGATGGAAAGTATCTCAAAACAATGAAAGCCATATTTGAAAAACCCTCTGCCAATATCATCCTGAATGGTTTATTCTTTCAATCCAAGCTTTCAGCCTTTCCCTTAAGAACAGGAACAAGACAAGGATGCTTACTACCAACACTCCTATTTAACACAGAATTGGAGGTACTAGCCAGAGTAATCAGGAAAGAGAAAGAAATAAAGGGCATCGTGGTTAGAAAAGACTAAGTCAAACTGTCCTTGCTTGCAGATGACATGATCCTATATATAGAAAAACCTAAAGACTCTACCAAAAAACTCATAGAACTGATAATTTTGGTAAAGTTGCAGGATACAAAAATCAACATGAAAAATCAGTAGCATTTTAATACTCCAATAACAAACTAGGAGAAAAAGAAATCAAGAAAGCAAGCCTGTTTATAATAGTCACCACAAAAGTAAAATACCTAGGAATCAACTTAACCGAGGAGGTGAAAGAAAGAAGCAAGGTCACACCATGAATTAGTCAAGGAGCTGGCTAAAGAACTCAGGGCTCCTGAATTCCAGCTCACAGTTTTAACTGCAAGTGCTACTATCACACCTGCTGAGACAAGATATGGAGAAAGCCTTGCAATAGGAAACTGCCACAGTTTCCAAGGCATAGCTGGCAATGGGAAGCAAGGACAGGCTTTCTGAACATACCTCTTGTAACTGGGACTCTTTCTTTTTGGAAGACAGATGTAAGTGCCGGTCCAGCAAAGAATAAAACCTCTCACCATCTTTTTCAAATTTCTTTTTCCGCTCCTAGACATGGGAGAGAAGGCATAGATTAAATGTCCGTAGTTTTAATTCTGTCTTTTTAGAGATAAGGATGAAAGGAGACAGTGTCAAGTTTCATATGGTCAATCCCGCTATGTCCTGGGAAGGGGAAAAAAAAGCAACAGAGAATTTGCTTTTGTATTGGTCTCAGCAGTTTCAAATTCCTCAAATATAAACCCAAACCATTCCGCCTAAAGAAAGAGCAGTTCCTACTGGTACAGCTGAAGGCTCTGGGAGCTGCTGCTCAAAGAATGACATTTAGGGCCTACAAAATAGTTACCTTTTCTTTACTTCAATAATTTTCCCATGAATTGACCACTCATTCAAATTTTTTTAAAAAGGGAGAAGGAACACAAAAGTGAATTAAATATATGTCTTAAACAGGCTAATCTACAATGCATTTAGACAGCCTAATAATAAGTAAAACATTTCTAAGGCAATAGGAACCTGGGATTGCCTCTTTGAGTGAATTATTTGATATTATTTAAGCATTTCACTGCTGCATATTATAAGCTGATGTTAACTATGAGGGGAAAATCCTGGAAGGTTTAGCCGGAAAGCAAGAGCTTTATGGGGGATAGAAGAATCAGACTTCACTCTCTTTGAGTACAAAATTTAATTAACTTCTCTGATGCTCAGCACAACTGGAAATCACACAGCCTCCAAAGTAGTACTTAACAATGCTCGTTTGTCACAGACTAATGCTGACACTCTGCAATCCCCTCAGCACCATGCTGGGAAATCCATGTAAACCGCTTGTATTGTCTCATAGGAAATCCAAACTCACTGAGCATCTACAATGTACCAGATACCAGGAGGGGCACAGCAAGGGACATACAGGTAACAAGAAAAAAGAAAATCTCACCCATGGTTTATTGGTAGAGGCAATCTGTTCCTGGGTAGAAGCTAGGACAGAGTTGAGTGATCTCTTTACCAGAATAATTTTGTTTTGTTTTGTTTTGTTTTTAATGGACAGAAGGAAGTATGGAAGAAGCTAACATTAGCTGAGACCTACAGTAGGCCAGGCACTGTGATAGGCTTAAAACCCATTGTCTCATTTAGTCTTCACAGCCCTGAGAAGCAGAAATTGTAAAGGACATTAAGGTTCAAATGAGGTATACCAACTTGTCCAAGGTCAAATAATATACATGTCTATCTGACTCTTTCCACAAGGTCAAATATAACCCAGATGATCATGGGAGAAATAACAGTCAGGGGGCTTATAAATAATTGGGGAGTCTTATGAATAAAGCTCAAATAGACATAGAGTCCTAGCCCTAACTCAGTTACCAAAATACAGAAGTTGGAGATTTTCACACAAAACAGAGGCAGGTCAAACTGTTCCTCTAGATGCTGAATCTATTTAAAGTGACAATTATTTGAAGAAAGCGTGGGAGCCAGAAAACCTTACTTAGTGCTTTCTCCAGGAACAGATAAAGTTTTGTGGGCCACTTTCCCCTCCATTTCCACTGTTTAAATAAAAACTGTGAAATACAATTCACGTATCATAAAATTCACCCTTCTAAAGTGTATAATTCAGTGGTTTTTAGTATATTCTCAAAGCTGTGCAAGCATCACTGCTATCTAATTTCAAAATATTTCCATCACCCTATGAAGAAATCCCATACATATCGGCAGTCACTCCTCACTCCTCCCTCCGCCCACCCTCAACAAGTCACAATCTGGGGCCGGCCAGTTAGCTCAGTTTGTTAGATCACCACCTTGTAACACCAAGGGTCAAGGGTTCGGATTCCTGTACCAGCCAGCTGCCAAAAACAAACAAAACAAAAAATCCAAAGCAGTCACAATCTACTTCCTGTCTCAATGGATTTTCCCATTCTAGGTGATTCATATAACTGGAATCATGGAAAATCGCCTTTTGTGACTGGCTTCTTACACTTAGCATAATGTTTTCAAGTTTATGACTGAATAATATTTGATTGTATGGACATATTACATTTTCTTTATGAATTCATCAATTGATGAACATTTGGGTTACATCTATTTTTTGGCTATTATGAATATTGTTGCTAGAAACATTTATATGCAGGATTTTCTGTAGTTAAGTTTTCATTTCTCTTGGGCATATACCTAGGAGTGGAAGTCCTGGATCATATGTAACTCTATGTTTAACCTTTTGAGGAAGTGCCAAACTTTTCCAAAATGGATTCCCAATAGCAATATTCCCAATAGCAGTGAGTGAGAGTTCCAGTTTCTCCACATCCTTACCAATACTTATTATCTATTGTTTTTATTATAACCAACCTAGTGAAAGCGAACTGGTACCTCACTGAAGTTTGATTTTCATTGTCTTAATGACTAATGATATTGAATGTCTTTTCCTGTGCTTAAGGCCTCTTTGTATATATCCTTTGGGGAAATGTTTACTGAATTCTTTTTCCACTTTTAAATTGAGTTTACTTATCTTTTTATTACTGAGTTGTAAGAATTAATTATATATTCAGAATACTAACTTTACAAGTATTTTCCTCCACTTCTCTGGGTTGTCTTGGCACTTTCTTCATAGTATCCTTTGAAGCGTAAAAGTTTTTAATTTTGTAAAGTCCAATTGTCTTAATTTTTATTTGGTTGCTTGTGCTTTTGGTGCCATATCTAGGAAACTTTGCCTAATCTAATGTCATAAAGATTTACACCTATATTTTCTTCTCAGAGTTTTATATTTTACAGCTTTAGCTTATACATTTATACTGAGTTAATTTTTGAGCACGGTATGAAGTACGGCTCCAATTTCATTCTTCTGCATGTGGATGTCCAGTAATCTCAGCACCATTTATTCAAAAGACTATTCTTTCCACTTAACTGTTTTGACATCTTTGCAAAATATCAATATATACATTTATTTCTGGACTCTCAGTTCTATTCTATTGATCTATATGTCTATCCTTTTATCAGCACCATACTGTCTTAATCACTATAGCATTCTAGTAAGTTTTGAAATTTAAAAATTTGTCTTTGTCAAGATTTTTTTCTTTTTTGCTGTTCTGGTACACTCCATATTTATATGTATTTTAGGATCACCTTATCATTTGTGCAAAATGGACAGCTGGAATTTTGATAAGGATTATACTGAAACTGTAAATCAATTTGATGAGTACTACCATCTTCACAATATTAAGTCTTCCAATTCATGAACATGGGTTTTGTTTCTATTTATTTAGGCCTTTTAAAATTTCTTTCAATAATATTTTATAGTTATTAGTGTACAATACAAGTCTTGCACATCTTTTGTTAAATTTATACCTAAGTATTTTAATCTTTTTGATACTATTGTAAATGGGATTGTTTTAATTTAATTTTTAGATTGTTCATTAATGGTGGATAGAAATACCATTTATTTTTGTATATTGATCTAGTATGCTGCAACTTTGTTGAACTTGCTTATTAGTTCTAATTGTGAGTGTATGTGCATGTGTATGCGTGTGTTCCTTAGGATTTTCTATATATGAGATGAAGTTATCTGCAAATTAAGGATAATTTTACTTCTTCCTTTCCAATTGTGGCTAATTATCCTGACTAGAACCTCCAGTACAATAATGAATAGAAGTGAAGAGAGTAGATATCTTTGTCTTGTTCTTGGTCTTAGAGGGAATTATTTTAGTCTTTTACTATTAAGTATGATACTAGCTGTGGGTTTTCATAGCTGCCATTAATCAAGTTGAAGAAGTTCCCTTCTATTCCTAGTTTGTTCAGTGTTTTTATCATGAAATGGTGTTGGAGTCTGTCAAATGCTGTTTCTATGTCTATTGAGATGTGCAAGTGTTTTTTGTCCCTTAATCTATAGATATAGTGTACTGATTGCATTGACTGATATTTCTGATGCTAAATCAACCATGAATTCCTAGGATAAATCTCACTTGGTTATGGTATGCCACTGTTTTTATATATTGTTGGATGTGGTTTGCTTGCATTTTGTTGAAGAATTCTGCATCTATATTCATAAGGGATATTGGTCTATAGTGTGGATCTCTTGTTATATCTTTGGTTTTGCTATCAGGATAATATTTGTCTCATAGAATGAGTTGGGAGGTGTTTCATCTTCTTTTATTTTTGGAACATTTTGGGAAGGGCTGTGTTAATTTACTAAGCATTTGGTAGAATTCAACAATGAAGTCATCTGGTCCTGGGCTTTTCTTTCTGGCAAGCTTTTTGATTAATAAGTCAATGGCTTACTTTTTATAGGTCTATTCAGATTTTCTATTTCTTCATGAGTCTACTTACATTTAATTCCATCACATTCAGCAAGCAGTGACCTCAGCCTACTACTTCTGAGCCATCCCAACATTGGTTAAAAAGAATTTTCATACCAGGGTCAACTTGACTGTAAGTGTCAAATGTAGCAGAGGTTCTAATCAAGAGTCACTTTCCATCCTCAGCTCAAAATGCTACATCAAGACAGTTGTCAGACTGATGAAGAAAAGGAAGGAACTTTCGTTTCTTGAGAACACACATTTGCCAAAGAGTATGAGATTCTTTATTATACATTACTTAATTGAAATCTTCACATTAACTCTGAATGCTAGGCTTAACTTCAAAAAAATTTTTATGTCATAATATTTTATACAGTTCTATAAAGAATCAGACACTGAAAAGAGGAAATAGAGCCTGGGAACTAGGTTGCAGCATCACACTCATGATGCTCAAATGATCACTTAAGTAGCATTTCAAGTTTAAGAAAACTTTATTATAAAGTTTTCCTTTAATCAAATAAGCATCTAGTTCTATGCAGTTGGTTAAGACAAGCAGCAATTCCCAGCCCTTTTTCTCCTATTTTTGCCTTCCCCAGAAGCAACCACTTTCATTTCTTTAAGCCAATTCTTCTAGTATTTATGTCCATATCTCTAACATCTCAGAATAAAATTTTTAAATTGTTATTTCTTAATTTTTATGCATTATCTATTATTTTCCCAATATGGAAGATAAGGATTTAGATCTCTTTCCTCTTCCTGTACCATTATTACCATCAG